TTTTTCCCTTTATATGTCTAGTAAAATCCTTAAAAAAAAATCTTTTTACAGCTAGAGCTTAGATATTTATCATGAAACATCTTAAAATGGGTGTCTACCAAGTTTGTTCAAATAAAAACCCCTGGGTTAAAATTGGCCCCGCCCCTGGGGCCTATATACATGTGAGCGATTTCAGGGCCATCATTGCCCTCTTGTTAATTTAGATAATTCTAATTTTGATGAAATGGTGTTTCATGTTTATCCTTAAGCGCTACAGCTTAATAAAACGAATTCTTGAAATTTTAGTACATCATTTTGGATCTTCATATTACTTTTAAAACAATTCTATTCACACGAAAATCTATGATAAAAGAGGTGACTTTGATTTTGGTATAGTAAATCAACCACATATAGAGGGAGACGTACCGCATGCAACATCTTATAAGGTTTATATATCTCAGTTAATTAGATTCACTAGGGCTTGTAGCAATGTAAATGATTTTAACGAGCGAAATATTTTCACTTCTATCAAGCTGCTCAAACAAGGCTTCCACTACTTTAAATAACGTAAATATTTAACAAAATTTTACAATCGTAACTTTGATATACATGCAATTTTAAATTCAAAAGTGATCTAAAAACAGTTCTGCGACAAGGGATTAGCCAGTCTGATTTTTTGGAGATTTTGTTTACAAACTTAGTAAGATCTTGAGTCATTTTGTCATTTGGTAATTTTTCTGTTGTCTTTACTAAAATTATGAAAATATTTATAAAAAGTGGTTATGACCCTAATATTTAACACATACCGAATGCTAATTGTTCAACCCTTTTACAGTTGAACGTTACGCTTTCCCTTTTTGATTACAAATGACGGACCAAGTGGGAGATGAGGAACAGTTCTTAAAGCCTTTTGGAACTGACTTGTCTTAATGTTCGTCTTCTGCATTGCTTCGTCGGGCCCTTATAGGTGATTTTCTTGTTGGTTTTTTTTGTATCCTTTATTGTTTTCACGTCTACGGTATGTAGCTTCCTATTTGCCCCTAGTTCTATTTGTTTTAAATTTTGCCCCTCCCGTTCCCCGTACTTCAAGTCCCCTTCCCCGATATATGAATCAATTGCAGTATGGAAATTATGCACGTCTTTTTCTTTTCTTCCAATGTTGAAAATTCTGGTTGCTATTGCAATAAATAGACTGAATATATAACAAATTTAACACATAAACTGGATCCAGTAATAATGCAAAAAGAACGGAAAATGTTTTTTATGAAACTTGAAATATGGGTACATGGCAGTCTGGAGCTCTTTTTCTTTTCTTCGTATGTTAAAAATTCTGGCTATGGCAACAAATGGAGTGAATTTCAAGATTTCTGATTCTAGTTTTTAGGCTTTTTCACTATAAGTTCTATATTTCTTAAGGTATTTACTTCAAATTTTAAATATCAGTTTCTGGTCATCAACCACATCATATGTGACAAGGTTTACATTTCTAGCACGAAAGTTATCAGAATAAGCTCCCTTGAACTTAGAATTTTCATTAAAATGATTTTTTAAAATTCTTTATTCTAATGTATAGTCTACTTCAAATTCATATATATATTTCTTATTATCACTCAACATATGTGATCAGGTTCATACTCTAGCAAGACTATTTCCTGAATTATGTCCCTTGAACTTAATTTTTTTTTCGAGAAATTGGTATTTTTACTCCAACTTCTTCATTCCTTATAGGATTACTTCAAACTCCCACTGTAATAATAATATATCAAAAATTATAAATCTAGAATACATATTTCGAGAATTATCTAATCCTTAAACTTTGTTTTTTAGCTCACCTGAGCTAGCTCAAGGTGAGCTTTTAGGATCGTTGAATGTCCGTCGTCCGTCGTCTGTCTTCCGTCGTCCGTCCACACTTGTTCGTTAACAGACTAGCGGTAACATTTTTGCCTCAATCACCATGAAACTTTGTCAGGATGTTTATCTAGTTAATAGCTCGGATGAGTTCGAACATGAGTTATCTCAGATGAAAAATTAGGTCACAGGAGCTTAAAATAGAAAAACCTTGTTAACACTCTAGCGGTCACATTTTTGCCTCAATCATCATCAAACTTTCTGGCTATGGCAACAAATGGAGTGAATTTCAAGATTTCTGATTCTAGTTTTTAGGCTTTTTCACTATAAGTTCTTTATTTCTTAAGGTATTTACTTCAAATTTTAAATATCAGTTTCTGGTCATCAACCACATCATATGTGACAAGGTTTACATTTCTAGCACGAAAGTTATCAGAATAAGCTCCCTTGAACTTAGAATTTTCATTAAAAAATGATTTTTTAATAAATTCTTTATTTCTAAATGTATATCTACTTCAAACTTCATATATATATTTCTTATTATCACTCAACATATGTGATCAGGTTCAATACTCTAGCAAGACTATTTCCTGAATTATGTCCCCCTTGAACTTAATTTTTTTTCGAGAAATTGGTATTTTTACTCCAACTTCTTCATTCCTTATAGGATTACTTCAAACTCCCACTGTATAATAATATATCAAAAATTATAAATCTAGAATACATATTTCGAGAATTATCTAATCCTTAAACTTAGTTTTTTTAGCTCACCTGAGCTAGCTCAAGGTGAGCTTTTAGGATCGTTGAATGTCCGTCGTCTGTCTTCCGTCGTCCGTCCACACTTGTTCGTTAACAGACTAGCGGTAACATTTTTGCCTCAATCACCATGAAACTTTGTCAGGATGTTTATCTAGTTAATAGCTCGGATGAGTTCGAACATGAGTCATCTCAGATGAAAAATCAGGTTACAGGAGCTTAAAATAGAAAAACCTTGTTAACACTCTAGCGGTCACATTTTTGCCTCAATCATCATCAAACTTCAAGATGCTTGTCTAGGAGATAGCTCGGACGAGTTCGAACATGGGTTCTCTCGAATGAAAAAAATAGAAAAACCTCCTTAACACTCTAGCGGTCACATTTTTGCCTCATTCATCATAAATCTTAGTCTGAATGCTTGTCTATGTAATAACTCGAATGAGTACGAAGATGGATTATCCCGGATGAAAAACTAGGTCACAGGAGCTAGAAATAAGAAAACCTTGTTAACACGCTAGTGGTCACATTTTTGACTCAAGTGTCATCAAACTTGTCAGGATGCTTGTCTAGGTGATTGCTCGGATGAGTTCGAGCATGGGTCATCTCGGATGAAAACTAGGTCACCAGACTAAAAATAGAAAAATCTTATTAATACTATTGTGGCTACTGTTTTGATCCAAATATCCTGTAAATTGGTGTGATGATTTCTAAGTCAAGTTTGAACATGGGTGACCTCGGCTGAAAAACTAAGTCACACCGCCCAAATTTGGAAAACCTTGTTAACACCCTAGTGGTCACATTTTTGACTCGATTATCATCAAACTTCGTCAAGATGCTTGTCTTGGTAATTGCTCGGATGAGTTTGAACATGGGTCATCTCGCATGAAAAACTAGGTCAATGGAGCTAAAAGAAGAAAAATCTTGTTAACACCCTAGTGGCTACTGTTTTGATCCAAGTATCCTGTAAATTGGTCTGAAAGTTTGTTTTGATGATTACTAGGTCAAGTTCGAGTATGGGTTACCTGGGTTAAAAAACTAGGTCACACTGCTCAAATGGATAATCCTTGTTAACACTCTAGTGGTAACATTTTTGACTGAATTATCATCAAACTTGGTCAGGATGCTTGTCTAGGTAATTGCTCGGATGAGTTTGAACATGGGTCATCTCGCATGAAAAGCTAGGTCGCAGGGCTAAAAAAGAAAAAAATTTGTTAACACTCTAGTGGCTACTGTTTTGATCCAAGTATCCTGTAAATTGGTCTAAAAAGTTGTTTTGATGATTTGTAGGTAAAAAAAAACTAGGTCACACTGCTCAAATATGGATAATCTTTGTTAACACTCTAGTTGTCACATTTTTGACTCACCTGTCATGAAACTTGGTCAGAATGCTTGTCTAGGTAATTGTTTGAATGAGTTTGATGGGTCAGGTAAGCGATCTAGGGCCATCATGGCACTCTTATTTTCATCTTTGTTACTATACATATTCATGTTATATTTGAAAATTGTCACTTTTTACTTTTCTTCTTTGTGACTATAAATGTATCTTTAAAGTTATTTGTTACACTCACATCATGTCTGAGAATGTTCATAAATCTAGCATCTTTAATTCAAAAGTTATCTCCCCTTTAAGAATTTTGCTTTATAAAACTATATTTTGGAAACAGGGATGTTTTAAAAATTAACTTTAGAGTCTCCTTCTGTTTGTCTGTCTGTCTGGATGGTTATTAAAACAGTTTCATAAGATCATTTTTAAAGACCTTTTCCAACAAATTTACTTAAAATAGAGAAAAGTTGAAACATTAGTTATACTTATTCAACCTGAGACAATTGGACCTTTTGATAATCTCTTGTATAAACATAATTTCCTTACTAGGCAGGGAAACTTACCACATTACTATGATATAGACAAACTTAGAACGCAAACGATTTAGGCTCATAAAGTATTTGTTTTATGAAAATGAACAGGTAAAATATTAAAGTAGAGTTTGAGTTGTTTAATCAACATTGCATACGGTCCTTTTGCCATCATTTGCAATTCATAATAAATGCCTCATGCAGCCCATTGTGACTGTAAAATACTGTTCTCCTTAAAAAATTTGAGATAATTTTGGGATTTAGTACTTAACATACACTTTTCGTTTCATGTATTTCTAACGAAAATGGGTGAACTTTAAGTGACGACGGTTTTCTTTATATATATTTGCAATATATGCTCACCTTCTGCATATACTACAATAAAAACTTAGAATTAAGAATTATTTAATACGATGTGCAGGTGTCTAGAAAAAGCTCAGATCACATTTAAATACCTCCATACGACTTGAAATAAAGAATATGTAGTCGGATATATAATTCATAGTTTATCACAGTACCGTTCTCTGTTAAAAATTATTTTCTTTCTTATTTATTATTGCCAGTTGAAGCAAAGTGAAATCACCACCCTCAATGAGGTCGAGGTATGTAGAGAGGCATTAGCATATGTTAGCCTGGAATCAGACAAATTAGGACAGACAATTAAAGATGCAAAGAATTTCATTTGTGATGAACAGAAAGATGTTGTAGAGAGATTGCAACAAGCAGAAGACAAACATAAAGAAGATGTTAAAGACGTCGGTGATCACTTTACAGGTAGAGCTAAAGAGACAATACAAAAATATTTACACGAAGCTGTCAAAGAATTTGACAAACACAACGAAGTATTATATGAAAGAATAAAGAAACTGGAAGCAGACGTTTCTGTAAGAGTGGAAAAAGTGGAAAGAGGCGCTTGTAGCGAACCATTAGCATCTCTTAGCCTGAAATCAGAGGAATTAAAACAGACCCTTCAAGATGCAAAGAATTCCTTTAGTGATGAAATGAAAGATATTGTAGAGAGATTGCAACAAGAAGCAGACAAACATAAAGAATATATCAAAGATTTCAGCCATCAAGTAACAGGTACAGCTAAGGAGGCAATACAAAAAAGTCTACACGAAGCTGACAAACACAGAGAAACCCTTCTTGGCAGAGATCTTTGTGAGAGAGTTGCGAAATTGGAAACAATCGTTTTCTTAATTATGGGGAAACAAGGAATAGTAGACCTTCCACTTAATGAAAAAGTAAAACATCTTTAAACAAATGAAAATCTCTCTCTCTCTCTCTCTCTCTCTCTCTCTCTCTCTCTCTCTCTCTCTCTCTCTCTCTCTCTCTGATCGACTTTTGTCCGTTGTTTATGCATGCGGTAACATTTTTTTTCTGCACGTCATACGTAGCGGTATTTAAACAAAAGTTGTCATTGAAACTAAATGGTATGGGAGCAGTCTTGCATTTCTGCAACCTTTCAAAGGAATGCTCCCAATTCTTAATTTTGGTAAGATTAAAAATTTATTATTATTTTATAATTTATAATCATAAAATAATTTCAAATACCTTTATACTTAACAAACTGCTTTTTAAAGTAACATACATTCAGTATTATTTAAATATTTAAATCAAATATTATTTATATTGTGATGAATAATTATTTTAGTTAAACGTTGTTAGTTATATTCAAAGTACAATATTAAATATACCCAGCAATAATTAATTCGCTATACATTATTAATTGTAAAGTTAAACATTTATTTTACATCAACATATTAAAATGTTAAGTCAATGATAACACAAAATATTGGTTATATATACTTTTTCATTTATCAGATGTTTGTCAAAGTTTTTATATAGATATTACTATCTTTTATTTGTTGTTTTCTTCTGTAAGGTATCTGAGTTGGATCTCCAAATGTTATCCTTAAAGTACTGTGCCGATATATGATAATGCAAGAGTGACGTTACATTTTTTGTGTACACAAAAGTTTACAATCCTTGTCTTAATAGGTAAAAAAGTTTTGTTTTTTTAGAATAGGATATAGTACAAGATTAAAAGTAGAATTTTAATTGTGTTGATGGCAAAGTTGGGATGCAATGCAACTTTATTTGTTCACGAGTTCGAGCCTCACAAGTTGTCAAACTGTTTTTTGTCCTTTTTTCAACTTTACTAAAGATGCAAATAAATTGGAAAATAAAGATAGTTTAATTATAATATCTTATAATTTAAATATACCGGTGATAATATTTTTATCCCGTGTAGTGTGTATTATGCAGTAGTCATAGTTCTTGTGCACGAGTATTTCATGCCAACTTAACTATAGTTGAAACAATTGGTGTACATGTATTCATTCCGTTTAGAATTCAGTATATAGAGGATATTGATTGAGTGTAAGTTTAGTACTGAATTTATTGCACGAGTTGAATTAAACTAATTATGCAAGCCTCTGGTAAGCATACTATTATTTTATTCAACACTTTCAATAAATTCAGTAATGAACTTACACAAATTTAATATAATTGTATTTATCATATACCAAAAATAAAGACTGTTTAAAGTAAAACGAGTCATTTTTTATTGACACGCCAATAATATAACGCTTATATGTAGCGCAACTTTACACTACGTTTGTGTAACGCTTACGCAAAATGTATCAACGGCCGTTCAATACGATTTTTACGGAGTTGCAAAATCGACTTGGGTGTGTGATAAAAGGCCGTACCAACTTGCTAGATTATACTTTTGAATGAAAATGTGAAATTAGAAGTTAATAGAAAACGCAACACTTTACATTTCTTAACGTCAAGAAAAAATAAAACATAATCATATGGATTTTGTATTTTACCGAAATTTCTTTCTCGAAAAGTACAATCTGAACCAGAATGGCATTGATATTTAACTAGAAGATTAACTGACAACATTACCCACAGTTTGTAAATTTGTTATTATTTAAATTTATATCAAAAGCCTGCGTGCCTAAAGAAAATACACACAATAATTATGATAAAAGTTTGACACGGTAATATGGACTTGACCGCCGCGTCACTAAATAATTATCCTAAACGTACAATACCAGATTTTTTGCTTTCTTTTGTTGTAGTTTTTAAGTTCACAATAGCTAGCTCAGATCTTACGTCGTATGTCGTCCCTCCACATTAGTAGTCACATTTTTTTGCCTTAATCATCATCAAACTTGGTCAGGATACTTTTCTAGGTGATTGCTCGGATGAGTTCGAGCATGGGTCATCTCGGATGAAAAACTAGGTCACTGGATCTAAATATAGAAAAAATTTGTTAACACTCTAGTGGCTACTGTTTTGATTTAAATATCCTGCAAATTGGACTAAAAGTTTGTTTTGATGTTTTCAAGGTTAGGTTCGAATATGGGTCATCTGGGGTCAAAAACTAGGTCACACTGCCCAAATATGAACAAAACCTTGTTAACACTCTAGTGGTCACATTTTTGACTCAATTATCACCAAACTTCGTCAGGATGCTTGTCTAGGTAATTGCTCAGATGAAGTTGAACATGGGTCATCTCGTATGAAAAACTAGGTCAATGGAGCTAAAAGTAGAAAAATCTTGTTAACACTCTAGTGGCTACTGTTTGATCCAAATATCCTGTAAATTGGTCTGCAAGTTTGTTTTGATGATTTCTAGGTCAAGTTTGAACATGGATAATCTCGGATAAAAAACTAGGTCATATCGCCCAAATATGGAAAAAAATTGTTAACACCCTAGTGGTCACATTTTTGACTCGATTATCATCAATCTTCGTCAGGATGTTTGTCTAGGTAATTGCTTGTATGAGTTTGAACATGGGTCATCTCGCATGAAAAACTAGGTCAATGGAGCTAAAAGAAGAAAAATATTGTTTACACGCTAGTGGCTACCGTTTTGATCCAAGTATCCTGTAAATTGGTCTGAAAGTTTGTTTTGATGATTACTAGGTCAAGTTCGAATATCAAACTTTCAAACTTTGTCAGAAGGCCTGTCTATATAATTGCTCAGATGAGTTCAAACATGGGTAATCTCGGATGTAAAACTAGATTACAGGAGCTCAAAATAGAAAAATCATGTTAACACTCTAGTGGCTACTGTTTTGATCCAAGTATCCTTGAAATTGATTTAAAAGTTTGTTTTGATGATTTCTAGGTCAAGTTTGAAAATGCTTTACCTGGGGTTAGAATCTAGGTCACACCGCCCAAATATGGAAAACCTTGTAAACACTCTAGAGGTCACATTGTGACACAATTGTTATCACACTTGGTCAGGATGCTTGTTTAAGTAATTGCTCAGATGAGTTCGATGGGTCAGATGAGCGATTTAGGGTCATCTTGGCCCTTTTGTTAACATCAGTTTTCGGTCACATCAGTTTTCGGTCACATCAGTATTCGTTGTTTTTTTAATACTATTTTTATCAGTTTTCTGTTTCATCAGTTTTCAGTTTACGATTGTATTCTGATTTTCTCTTTTTTTATTCAGTTTTATTCTTTTTACAATGGTAACAATGGTAGACAGGGTGTGGCCATTAGAAGACTGGATAGAAGATCTATAAAAATCTGGAAACAAAGTGGTCCCATGAAAACATTAATCACAACAAAATTACGTGAAAATTGCAGACTCGGTTTGATTGAGTCTGTACATGAGGGATAATGGATAAATGCAACATACCTCACTCACTCTAGCACCGGCTAGCAACAGTTCGCAACACTTAATAGTGCTGACATAAATGATCCCGAAGGACCAGAAAAATATAACAACACTGAAGTGATGAAGTGAAGTACAGGGCAACTTTTTAATTTGAAATCAGTGCCATCATCACTTTCCCATTTTTCGTACAAAATGTTGATTTTAGGTAGCATTGAATTTATCGTAGCAAAGTAATATTTCACAGCAGTAAGAATCTTGTATTGCTACCAAATCAAATTCTTGTAATGTTGACTTGACATCATTTTTGCCAGATAAACACTGATTTCCCAAATCAGTTTTATCATTTGCCTGACTTGCCTGTACTATGTTAATCAATGGATCCTGCCAAAATTAATCTTTATTATTTTGATAAGTGCTTTTACCAGAGATATACAAGCAACCTCTTTTTTAACTGTAATGTATTTAAGATATTTGAAAAACTATTTAAATCAAATTTTGATGATGAACTCTTGTCAATTTCATTGATGTTATTAGCATCCGTGCACAAGAATTTGATAGAAAAGTTCAATTTTTATGGACAAATATCAATAATAAGGCTAGGGTGATAATTTTACAACTAGAACAACACTACCTTATCTCCTTTAAAGCAGATTTCATCACAAAACGTTATATTTGAATTTATTTTATCATAATCTATAGTATTAATACTAGAAACCATAGACATACTTTTTTGTGCCTCTTCTACCTTACTAGAATATCTACAATGTTGAATACTGTTGGGAAAAGGCGTAAAATGAAACAAACAAACAAATTGTAAATTAATAAGCTCTTCGAAAAATTTACCATTTTGCCAAATGTCGTTCAACATTGATGTAACCGTTATTTTAAGCTCGAGCGATCTGTTCTTATAATCACATGTCTACCTCAGTATTATGATGACAACAAAAGGAGTTCCATTTAAACTATAGAAAGTATGTCTCTTCTGGCAAGTCAATAATGCCTCTGATTTTTTGTAACAGATGTACTATTATATCCTACTCATTTTTCTTTTCCATTTATACATTGAGACACAACCTTTCCTTGCGCTGAAAGAGGGTCATCACAATCAAGAATAAATTGACCAGTGTCTGTTGGAAAGGCACATTCATGTTTTCAAATTAACTTTCTACGATTCTCGGCTAATACATGCAATGGTCTAGCAATCTTAGCAAATTGATATACATAAGGTCTGTAATAGGAAGCTAAAGAAAAAAAACATACTGCTTCTTTGATATTTCTAGGGGTAGGCCAGTCTTTTATTCATTGAATTTTCTTTAATACGTCCTCTACCCTTTTCATCGATAGTATGACATAGAAATGTAACGTAAACATTTTCTGAACAAGTAAAAACGTTTTAAGATTAAATTTCAGTTTGCACCTGTTAACCTTTGGAATACAATTTCAAAACTATCCAGATGTGTAGAAAAACTGTTAGAATGATAGATATATTTATGAATATTTAAGTATATAATAATAGTGTTCCACAAGAAAAATCCTGTGAACACCATTTGCATTCAACGTGTAATTGTAGCAGGAGCATTACATAAGCCAAATGGTAGC